GTTGTTTTCATTGTTAGTCTCGGGACTTATTGATCCATGTGTTATATCATTTAGATTGAAAAAATAAAATTTAACTTTGCGCCAATTATTGACATCAAACCTTTTATACGAATAATATATCACTTAAGTATCACAAAATAAATTTTGTAATATAAATAATTTTTTTAAAATACGCGCCTACCGAGTATTAAGATGTCGAACTACTGTATAATATACACTCATTTAAATTGAATTAATTTTCAGAAATAATAATTTGCCGATAAGATTATCGGACATTCACACAATCAATCTGAAACAAATAATCCCCCCAAAAATTTCCCAAATCTTAAAAACTGTAATAAACTTATTGCGAAAAATATTGCCTCGGCCGGGAGTCAAACCCGGGTCTCTTGCATTTCATGCGAGCGTCCTAAGCCTTTAGACTACCGAGATCTTAGCAACATTCTTCGCAATAATCGATATGCATAGAAAGTTACGCATGTATAAACACGCGTGTATAAACAATATGATTGGAAATGAGACCGTTTATATTATATTAAAACTCTATACATGGAATGCAAGAGATCCGGGTTCGACTCCCGGCCGAGGCAATATTTTTCGCAATAAGTTCATTACAGTTTTTAAGATTTGGGAAATTTGGGGGGGGGGTATTTGTTTCAGATTGATTGTGTGAATGTCCGATAATCTTATCGACACGCAATTATTATTTCTGAAAATTAATTCAATTTGAATAAGTGTATATTATATAATAGTTCAACATCTTAACACTCGGATCGGTAGGCGCTTCGTATTTTAAAGTTTTAATAAACGGTCTCGTTTCCAATCATATTAATAATAATTTTTGATGAAAAATTAGAGCTGTACTTGAATTGAAATAGTAGATATTATGCTTATATTGATATATATAGGTATCCTGTATTGAAATTTCAAGCCAATACTGCACCATTTATAAATCTCTACCTCGGAGTCTCTCCTCAAAAAGAAATATTACTTATGGATTTAAAATAAGTTCTTTCTTTTAATTATAATTATAACTTTTGCATAAAATCGCCAATATAATAGGTGATTTATAGATTATTAACGCTGAAAACAAATTCGCAAATAAAATTGCACTATTTCGTCATATTTTTCAAATATTTTAATTCAAAGGTAGATATTAAAAAATTACAATTTCGGCACTTTTAAGTTTAATTTTTTCAAAAGTGTGACATGATAAAGCAATTTCGTTTCTAAATTCATGTGCGTGTGTTTCTAGCGTGATGAAAATCTATAAAAATTACTTTGTCCAGTCTATAATACAAAAAAAAATGTAAATTGTCGGCAATGTAATCGGTGCACATTTTGCATGAACTGGAAATTGTAAAATTTACATGAGAATATTATTAGGCACCAAGACCCACCTTATCTATGGTTTCATTTGCTGATTTATATTGAAAAATTATAATAATATGCATTACATATTAAATTAACAAAATATTCTATAAAAAAAATTAATACCTTGCGTAATTGCTGCTACACCTCTTTCGTGAACTGGAGAACCAGGAATACTCGCAGGACTGTGTGAAGGTGATGCTAATCTTTGTAATTGTTGATATTCTTGTTGAAGTGCTTGTATGCCTGGTCCAGGTGCACCCGATCCTTCCGATGCCCGACGAACAGGTGAGTATCTTTCAGTAGCAACATGGCTGCTTGGTTCCTTATACGAATCCCTATTACTTACTAAAATTAATATACACATTAGAAACATTTTCTCGAATTAAAACAAATGTATACGTGCGTCATGTACGTGTGCGTGTGTAAATTAAAAATTATTCATCTAACTTGCATAAGAACACTTAATAAGAAAATATTTTTTTAATTGTATGAAATACCTCTCTCACAACTTACAAGATGAAAATAATTCTTATCTCTCTGAGAAATTAGAAAAAAATTGCACCTATTGTAAAAATTTCTTTTTGTATGAATGAAATATATTGTTTATTATTTTGTATACTATACACACATTGCGATCCATAAATTTTAAAACTGATTATTTTATGATCATTAATAGTGCCATCTAAAAATTATTGCCAAACAATATTCGCGATTCTTAGCTTATATATAAAATGTAAATAATCTACAATTAGCTGATCGCATATTGTTTTACATAGCTTATTGATTTAATACATTATAAATTTATTAAGAGCAACATACCGCTATAGAATTTTGTTTTAAAGCCGATTTATCAAACAAGTGTTCGAAATGATGTAAAAAGTTTATGGAAATAAAACATTAAATCAAGCAAATATCTTTCGATAACATGTCATTTCGTGAAGAGATTCTCATAATCTCTTTAGAACATATACTACTGGAAGTGGAATTGCCTATGGCATCCATGTACGAGGTCTGTTCAAAAAGTATCGCGAATTTTGTGTTTTTTCAAAAATTATTTATTTATTCATGAATATCTATTTTGTTCCCTTCAAAGTAATCCCCATCAGATATTATACACTTGTGCCAACGTTTTTTACCAATCCTCGAAGCACTTCAAAAAATTATTTTTTGTGATCTTGTTCAGCTCCTCCTTCGATGCCGTCTTTATCTCCTCAATCGTAGCGTAGCGTCGTCCTTTCATGGGCCTCTTCAGTTTCGGGAACAAGAAAAAGTCACAGGGGGCCAGATCTGGGGAATACGGTGGCTGCGGCATCATTAGTGTGTTGTTTTTGATCAAAAATTCGTGCACAAGCAACGATGTGTCAGCAGGGGCGTTATCATGGTGCAAAAGCCAATTTTTGTTCTTCCACAAATCCGGGCGTTTCTGGCGGATTGCTTCGCGCAAATTGCGCATAACTTGCAGGTAATATTCCTTATTGACCGTTCCGATTGGCCAATACTATTTTCTTCACTTCATCAATGTTTTCGTCTGTTGTTGACGTGCTCGGGCGTCCGGCACGCTCTTCGTCGTTCACATCTTCTCGGCCCTCTGAGAACATTTTGTACCACCGATAAACGTTGCTTCGGTCCAAGGTAGCTTCACCATATGCCACAGTCAACATTCGGAATGCGTCCGCGCACTTAATTTTGTTTTTCACACAAAATTTGATACAGATTCTTTGATCCATTTTTTGGAATACGCAAAAATCGAAGACGAGCCAAAACACGTGCAAGCAAAGCAGCTGTCAAAAATTAACTGAACATTCAAAATGGCCGAACTTGTCGGCATAAGTGAGAGACATGAGTACCAACATAACGCCACAAAAAATCGAAAATCGAATATACGTAACCCGCGGAAATTCAAAATTCGCGATACTTTTTGAACAGACTTCGTACTAAACGTGAAGTCGCCATCTGTTACTATACGAGAGAGAAAGCTAGACAGTCTCAAATGTTCACAATGCGCATGAGTCAGTACTGTCATTTGTGTAAATTGTGTTTAGTGATTCTTACACATTGATATTGTTAATTTCAGACGTTTTAGGTTATGTATCTTAGACAAAATGATAATAAAACTAACTTAATCTATTGTATTTAATAAATTAGTGTTAGAATTAACTTTAATATGAGAATGCGTGTAAGATTAAAGTAAAATTGACTCAAATATTCTTATAAATTTTATAAAATAACAGTCATTTTTCACAAAATTTATTTTTCAGAAACCTTTTCAAAAAAATGAAATAAATATCATATATTAAATATCAATAACATATGTAAACCTATATGTTGTTACATAACTGATGCCTACATAAAATATTTCAGAATTAAATTAAGTGTAATAAGAATGGCACATGCACATTACAGTCAACTGAGACTCTAGCTTTCTCTCTCGAACAGATGCTGGTTTCAGCGCTCCATTCTACTTCTAGTAGTACTAGTAGTAGTGATTTGACGTTGATCGATCAACCATTTCTGGTTAGGTCGGAAAACCAGCTTACTCCCGACATATATAGTCTCTATTGCTGTTCATTGTAGACGACGCTTAACGACTCTAAATATTTATAGTCAGTTCTTATATTCAAGACCGTCTTAAATTCTGTCTTAAGTTACGAATCAATCAAAAGGCCGCATTAGCATCTTAAGATATTACTTAAAACGGTCTTGTAATAAGAACTGAATATGAATACCAGTATAATCTTTTCATTTTTTTTTCAGTACGTCATGAATTCAAAAAAACAATGTATCGCTGTAAAATTTTGTTTTAATCTTTCGATTTATATCTGCTTAATAAACTTTTTAAAAACTTATGGAATAAAACATTAATGTACGTTTCCAATGTATTATAGATTAACTTTAATCAACTTATTCTTCATCTTTTCTAATTCTAAAAATTAGGAAAAGCTGAAGAGTAAGTTGAATCAAGATTAAAGTCAATATACATTGGTGGAAACAAACATAAGTGCATCAAACATTTTCCAATATGCTAGATTTTATAAGTGAGAGGTGGTGGAATTTCTTTCTTCACGAAATTAGCATGCCATTATTTGTTCGAATTAATGTTCTTTTTATCTTTTGGATTATTTTAAACGTTGGTACTCTTCTTTTATTATAACATCCTTTTTTTCGAAATCAAGACATATCGAATAAAAGACACAATAGTGCACGCGCGCATCGCGAATAATGCGACACTGGACGTGTACATTTTATAACTTAAACGAGATCAGCTAATCGTAGACTAGCTAATCGTTCAAAATTTTATACAATGCATAGTTAGCAAGGTTAGAAACATTACTTCATAAAAAAAGTAACTTTATAGAAATAACTCGTTATCATCACTCCCCTGTTTATTCTTTATAAAAAAAATATCTCGTTACTGTTCCCATTACCGTCAGAAACGGTAGAAAGTGATAATTTAGAAGTAATTTATACTTAGGAAGTAACAATTTAATGTTTAAAAGATATTAGGTTTTAAAATTGTAATATTTAATAATAAATATTAAATTTAATTAATATTAGAATAAGACTCTAAACTAATCTCCATACAGCAAATGTTTTTAAAATTATTTCAATAAATTTTCTATAATTATTTATATATTTTTGTTTCTTAATATGCAGGGTAGTCCATTTTAATACAAGTAGAACATTTCAAATCCGGTAAAACTTTAAAAAATGAGCGACCTCAATTCTAATGACTTTGACATATGTTGTCAAGGTCATGACTCTGAGTGATCTCTCACAAATTTTAACTGTCGCTTATTCGTTAAAAAGTTATTAACAAATAAAGTTTAAATTAAACGTATTAATTTTTCAATTCTTTTTAAAAAATAGGTTCACATGAAAAGTCGAAACCCATGTGCAATACTACAAATACAAAAGTCGTACGCCTCTAAGTAAGGAGAGAGGTGGGGTGGGAGTCACTTCGCGTGGAAATCGCACGCCTCTAAGCAGGGAAGGAAGTAAGTTCTTTTATTAATAACTTTTTAACAAATAATGAACGACGGTTAAAATTTGTGGGAGATCACTTATAGTCATGATCTTAACAACATATGTTATGTCAAGGTCATTGGAATTGGTGAAATCGCCCAGTTTCTGAAGTTTAATCCAAAATCCTTAAGTTTAAGACAAAAATGTTTCAAACAAAAGTTGCTTAGTTACAAAAGAGAAAAAAAGATAGTAATCTTGGTTAACTTTGAGATATCCTTAAAATCAGGTCAATATTCCCTCGATTTTTTAAACAGAATCATATAGAATTAAAATTTTTGAAAGTAGCTAAACAATTACAAAAGATAAATAATAAAAAGCATACAGCCACAACAATAGATGTAAACAAGTCATGTATTTAAAATCCCAAATAAATAAGTAGACGTTTCGGTCAAGATTTGACCATCATCAGTACATAAAAAGATAACAAAATTGAAAGTTACAAACTAAACGCAAGTCGGATGTTAAAATAAAAATTACATAAAGAAATTAATAGGCAAAAAGTACATGCCATTACGGTCGCAATGATCGCACTTAAAAGTTAAAATAATTTCTTCTTGCTTGTGGTATGAAAAACAATATGAATAGAAGTCAGAAAAGCTGTTACAATCTTCTAATAAAATAATCTATTGCAATTTATGTTTTTCTTAAGAAACGATGAGAAACTTCATGTAAAGATACGGAATTTCCAAGTTCTATTATAAAACAAAAAATCTTTCCTTTATTTTCAAACATAATCAATACTAAGTTCGCAGAAAATTAATTTGAAATTGTGAAATTGTGATCAAAACTTACCACGTATCTTATAGCACAAAAACTCATCAGTACGAACCGGAATATGTAAAAACTTTTAGTACGATAATAAAAATTACTTCTGACAATGACAAAAAACCGTCCAAACCGTAGTATATTTATATTATGAGAGGAAAGGAGAGGAAACAAAATAAGGAAAGAGAAATATTAAAAGTGGAGAGAGGAACTATTTCCAATGAGTGGGAGATAAATTTCGGGAAAATGTTCGGTGTCACTCTGTTTATTTAAGCCATTTTCTTGCCGTTTGATATGTATCATCTCCGAAACGAACCTTTTATAATAAGAACATTCTGAATCTAGAATTCTGGAGTTTTCCCAATTGATATTACGACCATTGTCTAGTCTATGACACGAAATAACAGACAAGGAATTAGAAGGTTTATTTAAATCTTTCATGTGTTCTTTCAGTCGCGTCTTCAACTTCCTTTTAGTCTGATCCACATAAGAATGATTACAATCCTTACAATTAACTTGGTAGACAACATCAGAATGCTCTTCTTTTTTAATTTTGT